ACCCCGCACAACATGATCTACTCGACCACCATTATGGTTACCGCCAACAAAAAAAACGGAGGTAAAAGAATAAAACGGTAACCTGGTTGCCGAGTTCACGAAGTGAATTGGCTTGTTTTACAACGTCTTTGCCAAGCGACGAAAACCCAATCCCGATGGCAAACACCGGGGGGAAGGGGGTAATATCAACGAGGGAGGGATGCCAATCAACCAGCGAGGAAGAGTAGAGACGGCCGCACTCCGATATCAGAACCAACGGCTCATTGTAAGACAAGTCGTTATGTTGAAAGCATGCAGTGCACAGGAGGTTTCCTGTGTGATCCCCGATCGTAGCTCCTCACTCATAAGAGAATGCACTGTAGGCAGGCAATGCGCGTGACGGGTATGGCAAGAGAGTACCCTAGCTAGTTTAACACATATTGGTCCATAATGATGGGAACGACGCAAAACTCTTGGATGACGGTGCTGCAGGTTTGGTCGACTGTCCGGTCTATGGTTTCACCCTTTTCTTTCTCTCTTCTGCCCTATCTATCTGAACCGCCCACCCCCAAGAAAAAATTCAATCAGAGAAACAGGTACGACTCTTCTGCCGTGGGATACACGAAGCCTCTGGCTGTCCTTTCACTTTCGCCATCTCTCTCTATGTATACATCTTCCCCGCTCCCTTCTCTTTCTCTCCCTTTCCCCCCTTTTTTCAATCCCTCGCGCTCCTCACTCTGAGCAGGTGGTGAAACGAAGTGGAGTCAGCCCTAACTTCAAGTCCGAGAAGCTGGTGTTCGACATCGTGGAGCCGGACGAGTTCGTGGTGGGCGGGGACGTTACCCTATCGATCGAGATCTGGGACGACAGCGCCTGGTCGGACGATCTGCTGGCGTCTGTGAATCTTTCCGCGCTCAGGTGTGTGTGAGAGGGGAGGGCCGAAGAAGGAAAAGCGCGAGCATGTTGAGCCGGCGAATTGTCTTGGCGGCACTGCTTGTGACGTCAATTCTGTTTGCTTCACCGCCTACTGTTGTCGTGTGAGTGCTGCAACATGTTCTGCACGCTTTTGGAAGGTACATGAACATGTAGCCCTGAGAGAACAGACAGGGCTAGCAAGTTGTCGAAATTCAAGCGAACGCGTGGCATGCAGATGGAAGGGCGGGGGGGGGGG